CACACACACACACACACACACACACACACACACACACACACACACACACACACACACACACACACACACACACACACAGAGTGGCTCACAATCACATCTGAGTGAGCTCGCTCCTGCGTTCCCAAAATGCATTAACACACATGTGCTGCCACACAATGGTGCAATCTGGGTCAGTGTTCTCGGGCTGACACATCCGTTGTCTGGGTGACCCAGTGCCCATCGTCAAACCATGGCGCTGTCATCGTCAGGGCGGGGSTGATTTCTGCAGTAAATGATGTGTGAGTAAGTGGATTAAATCATCAGGGATCGGGGATGAAACGAGGAGAGCCTGTGTCTCTAAGACTATGAGTGTGTGTGAGTGTGTGTTTTTGATTTGTGCGTGTGTGTGATTCTGACTTCCAAAGCCCGGTCTGATGGCGAAGTCGTGATCCTCGATCCTCAGCAGTTGTTCACTTTTGATCAGAAAAGTTTTGGTGCTGTCCTGCCGCCGCAGCTTGTAATCGATGCGCCTGCAGAAACATGTAAAACACAAAGAGGCGTAATTAGCGCTGCTCAGGGTGTAATTAGACACCAGATTAATGAGATTAGAACACTTTGGGTTTTTTTTGTGTGTGTGTGTGTGTCCTGTAACATTTTGAACCCCATCTCTCCGTCTTTCTGCCCACAATCATAATAATGAAAGGTACTGTATTCCAATAGTTCTTTCAAATACGTGGTGTGATTAAAAACTTTTATTTTTATTTGCTGCAGGTCTGTTTGGAGCTGGGAAAATTAAAAGCAAACACAAAATTAAAGATCAAGCTTTCTTTGTGGAAATGCAACAAATCTAAAATAAATTGGGACAGAAGCAACAAAACAGTGTAAAAATAAGCGCCACAGAAAAGAAACAGCTGGAAAAGCATTTCCAGACTAATTTGGTTAATTAACAACAGATCTGTGAGAGGACTGGGTGTAAAAATTGAAATGTTTGTGTTCAGAATAACTTTAGTTTTTAGTCTTTTCTTTGTTGTTTTTTAAACACCACCAGCATGGCACCTAATTTTATTGTACTTGTTTTACAATGACAATAAAGAGATATTCTATTCTATTCTATTCTATTCTATTCTATTCTATTCTATTCTATTCTATTCTATTCTATTCTATTCTATTCTATTCTATCTATTTCTATCTATCATTTAAAATTTCATTCAAAAATGTCAAAATTCTGCAAAAATCTCTGAGCTCAAAGATGAGGTTGAAAGTCAACATTGAATGGTTGTGATCTTTGAGCCCTTGGGGGCCATGGCTCTAAAAACAGATCTGATTCTGTTATGAACATTACAGGAACATTTCCACCAATCACTGTCTGTAAACACAAGTTAACACACCATTTACAAACACTGGTTCAAGCTCTATCATGCAAAGAGGAATCCATTGTTGTCTTTTCTGAACCAAAGCTTATTTARAATGAACCAAGGCAAAGTGAAAAACTGTTCTGTGGTCAGATCAATATAATTTTTTTAGAAATCACAAATGCCACATGCTCTGTACTAAAACTAGAGAAAGGCCTTCTGTTATCAGCACACAGTTCAAAGGCCTGCCTYTCTGATGGTGTGGGTGTGCATTGTTGCCAATGACATGAGCAGCTTCACATCTGGAATGGCTCAATGCAGAAACATATATGTATGCTCTCATACAGCAAAACAAAACAAATAAATAATAAAAAACAGCAGCTGATCTCATTACTTTTTCTGAGATGTTGCTCCCAGAAAATTCAAAATTACACAATTTCTCAAAATGATACAGTTTCATAGTTTTAGCTATTAAAATGTTTATATTTCATCATGAACAGAATGTAATTTTATAAAATGTGCACATTGTTGCATTCTGGGTATTTATTTATCTATTTTTTAAACATTTTTACTCATCCTAACTTTTTTGAAAGTGTAGTTGTACTACAATGTGTTAACAATTGCATACATGCATGCTCACAACCGCACACAAACAGGTGTTTAAATCCTGGGTTTTCTAGTCGGACACTGATTGAATGGTATGTGCATAATGTGTATGTGTATATGTGTGTGTGTGTGTGTAGGTATGTATGTAGGTATGGGTATTTCACTTTTTTCTTCTCTTTTTCTTCTTAAAAAAGTCACTGATGATGAAGAAACTAATATTCAGTTCTGCTTTCTACTGAAGCGGCAAAAAAAGGCGATTCACTAAAGCAGAGAACTAATACATTTTTCTTATGTTCTGCTGTGATACATCAAAGTTTTTCCTCAACCAAATTACACAAAATTTGCAAAAAAAAAATAATAATAAAAACTCAAGTCATATGGCTGAAAGTACGTCCAACTAAAATGAAACCTGAATGTTCAGAGGAGAGAACAAACACAAACTCTAACAATGGTCAGGATTTAGAAAAAGAAATTAGAGCCTGAGCCTTTCAGAGGCTGAACTGTGTTTTATGTATTAGTGTGTGTGTGTGTGTGTGTGTGTGTGTGTGTGTGTGTGTG